AGCCAGGGAATGACAGCTGCTTTTGGCACGATTCCACAGATGGCAGCTGAATGTGAATACAGCAGTTAGTGGATGGGTGCAATAGCCAGCCTGCTATTGGCTATTGCAATTTGAAATGGCCAATAGCAGGCTGGCTATTGCACCCTCTCACTGCTTGCTGTGCCCTCCTCCCAGAATGGAGGAGAGACCTGGGGGATCCAACCAACTAATCGATAACGAAAATATTTGACAACTATTCTCACTATCGAATTTGATATTAGTTGGTTGCAGTGCTCTCTAACATGCACAATGTTGCTTTAACGGGTAAGTTCACTTTCCCAAGTAATTTGGGAAAATGGGATTACCCTCTCAAATCTGGCTCCCTCTCCACATTCCCTCCCCCAGCGCTATACTCGCTATACGGTCCTTCCCCTCTGCATATGTACCCCACATTGCCGTCCAGCACAGCCCTGCCCTCTGGATATTGAGTTTTGCTCGCAAATTGCATGTACTCGATGATCAGCACAATCAGGTGACCAATGAGAAGCCCTTCTTAGAATGGTTAAATAGAGTTTTGGATAAAGTTATATATTGTATCAGGACAAGTATATTGTCATAAGGGACAAGTAGATTGGGCCTCCGCTTTAGTCCTTGGACAAGTAGTGTTTTTTTTAAAATAATTTTTTAACATTTCCACACCCCTGAATATGAAACCTAGAGCTGTCTGCACATACCACCATCACATTATTCTGGGCTCTTTCATTTTTATTAGTGTTTAAAACTGATGTCTGTGGTGTCATTTAAAACTCCTTTTTATGGCTTTATTAGGCCCATTGGGGCGTTCAGATGAGAGAAGTTTTGTTTTTGTCAGCCCCACAATTGACAAAGGGAGGACACAAACTAGCGTCCTCCCGTCACCCAAAGCTCAGTATACCGCAGGCTACAGCTCGCGGTATACTGAGACGCCGCAGCCGGGACGGATCCCGACATTACTCGAGATCCACCCAGCTGCATGAGTGACGGCTGGCTCTGCCTATCTAGAGGCAGAGCTAGCTGTACCCGCCCCTCCCCAGGGGCGGTGCGGGAGGAGACCTAAGCCTCCCATGACAGCTGTCTCTGCCCACCCCATCACTCTCAATCCTGACACGCTGTCACAGGAGGCTGGGCGGGGCATTTCGGGAGGATATCTCAGCCTTCTGTGACAGCAATGGCTGTCTCTGCCCACACCGTCGCTCTCCTGATCTGTGACAGGAGGCTGAGCAGTGCGGGGACGAGAGACACCGGTCGCTCACAGCGCTGTCCTTCCGCTCTGCCTCCCGTGACAGTTTCTCTCCTCCCTGCTGGGACACAGCAGCACCCAGCGGGGAGGAGAGAAATCAGGGATGCACCGCTATTTCACCCGGAAAATTGCACTTTTGGCATTTTGCCAAAAGTGCCATTTTCGGCTAATATGTTTCGGCGGCCGATATATTGGTGTACCCCTAATAGATTCTGTAACAAACCGTGTGATTCAACCATATAAAGTATATGTTAATCCCAACAATGAAATTCTTGTGCTCCTTTTTAGCTTGTTAAATATACAATTTTTAAAGTATATTTTATTAGCAAGTGCAGAATCTTAACTTGATCCTGCCAGATATAGATATTTTTTTTGGATTGGGTAACTTCCTGTGGTCTTTGCCTGCATTGCTGTCTTCACAGTTACTTTGAACCCAGCTATATCTGAGCTACTGAACAATTACACTTATGTAAGGCACCATTCACACTGAGCGTTTTATTGCGCATATTTGCTGCGTGATATCACTCTCCAATGCATGTGAATGGGGCTGTCGCTTTGCAGGGCCCTTTTTTGTCGCGTATGTCGCGCGATTGTACTCAGCCCAATGGAAACATTTGCACAGTAAAACGCACAATATCGCGCAAAATGACAATTGCGCAATTTGCAATACGCTCAGTGTGAATGGGGCCTTGGAGAGAGGAGCAGAAGGAGATGTTTTCTTTAGTCATATCCTGGGGTGACTGCTGCTCCTCCTCCTTGTGGACAGCCTTCCCAGAAGAGTTGAAGCTGTTATATGAATAACTTCAGCCAGGGAATGACAGCTGCTTTTGGCACGATTCCACAGATGGCAGCTGAATGTGAATACAGCAGTTAGTGGATGGGTGCAATAGCCAGCCTGCTATTGGCTATTGCAATTTGAAATGGCCAATAGCAGGCTGGCTATTGCACCCTCTCACTGCTTGCTGTGCCCTCCTCCCAGAATGGAGGAGAGACCTGGGGGATCCAACCAACTAATCGATAACGAAAATATTTGACAACTATTCTCACTATCGAATTTGATATTAGTTGGTTGCAGTGCTCTCTAACATGCACAATGTTGCTTTAACGGGTAAGTTCACTTTCCCAAGTAATTTGGGAAAATGGGATTACCCTCTCAAATCTGGCTCCCTCTCCACATTCCCTCCCCCAGCGCTATACTCGCTATACGGTCCTTCCCCTCTGCATATGTACCCCACATTGCCGTCCAGCACAGCCCTGCCCTCTGGATATTGAGTTTTGCTCGCAAATTGCATGTACTCGATGATCAGCACAATCAGGTGACCAATGAGAAGCCCTTCTTAGAATGGTTAAATAGAGTTTTGGATAAAGTTATATATTGTATCAGGACAAGTATATTGTCATAAGGGACAAGTAGATTGGGCCTCCGCTTTAGTCCTTGGACAAGTAGTGTTTTTTTTAAAATAATTTTTTAACATTTCCACACCCCTGAATATGAAACCTAGAGCTGTCTGCACATACCACCATCACATTATTCTGGGCTCTTTCATTTTTATTAGTGTTTAAAACTGATGTCTGTGGTGTCATTTAAAACTCCTTTTTATGGCTTTATTAGGCCCATTGGGGCGTTCAGATGAGAGAAGTTTTGTTTTTGTCAGCCCCACAATTGACAAAGGGAGGACACAAACTAGCGTCCTCCCGTCACCCAAAGCTCAGTATACCGCAGGCTACAGCTCGCGGTATACTGAGACGCCGCAGCCGGGACGGATCCCGACATTACTCGAGATCCACCCAGCTGCATGAGTGACGGCTGGCTCTGCCTATCTAGAGGCAGAGCTAGCTGTACCCGCCCCTCCCCCGTCTGTTCCGCCAGTCAGCGCTGGAGGATCGGACGGGAGGGGGGAATCCCTGCATGGAGCTGTGAGTGGCAGTCACTGCACTCTGCAGGGACTGGATTGAGAAGTGAGCAAGCGACGGTATGTGGTCGCTCACTTCCCTATCTATTGAGCTGGCGTGTGACAGTTTCGTTGTCACAGGTCGGCTAGAACTATGAGGTTGAGTGATTTTCACTCGCCTCATAGTTCTCCTTTTAATGAGCTGTCAAAAAAAATAAAAATAAATACCAATCGCATTTTTATTATCTAAATAGTTTCATATGTTTAGAAAATATTTATGTGTATAAATAAAACACTGTGACACTAAACTAATCCAGGATGTATTTTTCACAAAAATAATCAAAACACCAAAAAAATAAATAAATACAGTGGGGGTAATTTTTCACTCCCTGGGTAAATATACTTTACAATAGGAGTAAAGGCGGATTTACTGAGGAGTTAGACTCCCTGTCAGGTTTTTATTGCTGTCTTTGTCCCTGTTATGGAGGTGGAAATCTCCTAGTGGGGGCACTTGTTTTAGTGGCTACTGTATAACAGGGAACTTTCTGCACAATGGAAAGATATCCTCCTACATCCTGTTGAATCTACAGAACAGAAAGTGAAAGGAAATCTTCCTAATGACAGAAAGCAAAAATAAGAGCATATAAAATCGGGTTCAGGGCTGGACAAATCCAAGGAGCCAGGTAGTCAATGCTTCTTAAAAAGGAAAGCCAGTGTCCAACTTTATGGTTTTCCTTTTAGTTGTTGTCAATGGGGCTGGCTCTTAAAAAAAAAAAAAAAAAAATCCAAATCCTGCCATCGACTGGGCAGGCTGGCCCCCTGAATTCCATACTAATTTGTCTACCTCTGCCCCAAGCTATCCAACATGAGAAAAGAAATTGGCTTTAGGCATACATTAAAGAATGTTGCGTTTTTCCTTTTTGTAAATATCTAAAGCTGATTTTTAAGAGCAGGCTATTATAGAATTGTAATAGATATAGTAACTGGCTACCTGTCAAAGGATGTGCAATCCCGTGCAGCTAGTTTTGTAATCCACACACTCCTGCAAGATTGCACAGAGTAGTCCTAGGCATCTGCTGCAGGAGCAGATCGGCTTGACAAAGAAAAGGCTTAACAAAAAAAAGGGTGTTCAACTTGCCCTTAAATTGCTGCCTTAGACCTTAAAGGAGCAGCAGCAGACCTATCAGGTCATCCTTCTGCTCAGTTTGCTCTCCTCTTGATAGCATTTTTGTTGGCACATTGTACATGAAGCACACCTGCTTGCCTACTAGTGTTGGCTCTTCTGTGCATGTTAATTCATGGGGCTGATAACAAGGAAATCCGGAAAGCTGTATACATTCACTATTTACTTTTCTTCCTTAAACTTAGAACGATCTGATACCCTCTTTCATGAATGCTTGAAGAGTAACACCTTAACTTCTCTAGGCTCCTCAAAGAACTTCACTGTATGGCCTTCATAGCACTGCACAGCCTCTGCAAACATCTTTACTGTCCTACTTTACTGTTGTCCTACTTCTCTCGTACATGAGTAATCTCTTCACTGCAATGGAAGGATCAGAATCCTCCAGTGTACATCATTTCAATTGGAATGTATGGTGATTGCTTGGAAAGGAAGGAGCATGACCTGACCGTTGTTCAGGAACAACCTGTACGGTACTAAGTAGGACACACAGCTAGGATATGGGCAGAGGGGGGGGGAGAGAGGCCTTTTTTTCTATGGGTTCATAAGACCAGGGCATTGGAGTCTTGTAAAAGGTATGCTTTGTCTAGGGTTATGTTCAAGGTCATACCAACTGTTATTGGACATTGCCCTGTATAGTAATAGGTCCAATGTTTTTATGTCCCTGCAGAGAATATGAAACAGACTTCAACATGACGTCCAGATTTGGGAAAACATATAGCCGCAAAGGTGGAAATGGAAACTCCAAGTTTGATGAAGTTTTCTCCAATAAACGAACCACTCTTAGTACAAAGTGGGGAGAGACCACATTTGTGGCCAAAGTAAGCCAGAAGAGACAGAACCATAAACCAGATGTCCCAGACACCCATAAAAAGCCTAAACTTGATGACGATGATCTTACCGAGGATCCGTTTGGATTTGATAGCGATGACGAATCCAAGCCAGTATCATCGAAAAATATCTCGCAGCCCAAGAGCGCAAGTCAGCAGTCTCTAGATCATTTGGGGGTCTCTGTATCTGAAAATTCAGCCCCTCTCTTTGAAGAAAACAGCAAGACAGACAATGCCATCTCTGCCGAAACCACCGTGTCTTGCAGGTTCTTTTCTTTTGACAGCACTTTGCATGGACTTAAAGAAAAAAATGCTAACAAGGTCATAGAGGATGGTAAAAGGCTGCACAGCTCACCGAAGAAAAACATCACAGGTATTTAACCTATATATCCTTCCTAACCCTATGAAAGTGTTAAATATTTGTGCATTTGGCAAAGCTTGTGTCACTGATCTTTGGTGATGCTAGTCTCTCTCTGCAAGTGTGTGTGTTTTCACAGAACATAAACCGAATATTTAGGGTCGTTTTATCAAGGTGAATCCAGATACCTTATGAGCTTGCATTACCTTTTTTATTAAGTATTTAAAGCCCACCACCAGGAAAATGACACAAGGGTTAAAGGTGGCCATACACAGTACGACTAAGAACAGTGGGTGCTGCTCTCTGCACCCTTTCAGCCAGCATCCCTTGATCAGCTGACTAAAGGAGCCAGTTAGAAAATCTTCGAAAGAACAGACAGCAGCCAATTAACTTTTCTTGATCAATGCTCGTAAGCGTTGATGGGGGAATCTGTTCTATTTTCATTGTTCAGCCCGTGGGTTGAACAAAGAAAATCTTAAGTTGTATGGTCAGCTTAACTGACTAGAGGACAGGAAAAAGCTGTTTTCCTACCTGATCCCCTGCATACCATGAAGGCGGCACTCTTTTTCTGCCCCTCTGATCTGGCTTTGGACTGTCTCTTGGTGTCCTCACGTACAATACAGGGCTATGTCTGTCATTTATCCAGGCCATGGTATATCTGTAAAAATAAATAAGCCAAGGCAACTGGACTTGCTGTATTTTTCTTGAAGACGTTTCACTGGTCATCCAACCAGCTTTCTCAATTCAGAACGATAAAGCTGGTTAGATATCCAGTAAAACGTCTTCAAGAAAAATACAGCAAGTCCAGTTGCCTTGGCTTGCTTATTTTTTTTTTTTACAGATAATGCAGGTCTATGGAACCTGCATTGTACTTGATGTCAGTGGTCCTTGGACCGCCAGAACAAAGGGACTACAGGAACCGGTGTAGCTGCTGTAAGGGAGCCAGCAGGAGCGGTGATCAGGTAAGTAAAACATTTTGTTCTTGTACCTTTAGGCACAAACGAGCAGTTAACCCTTGCAGTGTGGGGACAAGCTTCTCTGCAGGGGGAAACTTTCAATTTTCCTGGAATTGGGCTTTCATTTTAAACTCTAGTGAATATCTTGTAGAAAATGTAGAATGTTGCCTTTGTAGTCACTGGTTGATGTGATGACTGAAATATAACTCAAAGAGAAAATGTTTTTCCAGCTTTGCAGTCAAAATTGAGAACACCCACACTGTTTGTTCCAAATTACAGCATAACCAAAAGAAAAAAATATAAATATTTATTTCTGGACTTTTTTAGCTGAGTGTGTAGCAGGCATTTACAAGTTTTAGTTTCCTGCAGAATCCGCTTGTCCCCTGAGCAATGGTCTTGATATCTTGTTTTAGTGACTCCTTTCTCAAGCAGTCACCCTTGTGTGTCTCCACAAACGCACAGACACCGAAAATCAAGCTACTTCCCTTCCTCCTGCCCCCCTCTCCTCTTAGGGCCCATTCACACCAATTGCGGTGCGTTCCAGAGCGGCAACTACTGGAAAGCGTAGCAATTGCTCACAAAACGTCCCTCTGAGGCGGGAGAGGGCATGGCATTGAAGTCAATGCACCGCCATGCCCCCTCCTGCGCCAGAACAAAGGGGGAGGTTTTGTGAGCGTTGGCTGTGCTTTCCAGCAGCTGCCGCTCTGGAACGCACCGCAATTGGTGTGGCTGGGCCCTTACCCTCTTCAAGCTTGTGATCTTGTTCTGGACAGGAAGTTCAGGGAAGCTGAGCTGAGAGACTTGGAAGCAGCTGTTCAGAAACATGATTGTAAGTGTTTGGGCAAGAATGTAAAGCAATGTATATTTGTTCTGGATTCATTATTGAAAAAAAGTTTGAGGGTTTAATACTTTAAGTTCTGCTATGTGAATGAGAACAAATAAAAAAAATAGTATTAAAAAAGTAGTATTAAAAAAAATATTTGTTTTTATATTTCTACTGCAAAAGTGGAAGTAGGCTTTAAGCTGGTTTGAGAAGAACTGACATGACATGTCATTTAAAAAAATGGCTGTTTGCGGATTATTTTTAGAGCCATTTCCTACAATGTTTTCTTCATGTATTTAATGTGCTGTTTGGCTGAGAGAGTGCTGTTTTCAACCTTAAAAGAGCTCCTGATGACAAATCTTTGTACAGTATTGTTACTGTGGTTACATATTGCTACTTTGCAAAGTTGTTTTTTTTTTCTTAATAGAACTGTGTGTGTGTAACACTCCATATGTCTATTTTTTAAACAAACTTCAAGTTACCTTCAGAATAAAACAGTACCTAGCTTTAGTATGTACCAAAATTAAAATTTCAAAACCAAAATAAAAGTCAGGCCGAAACTGAAAATATTCTTTTATTTTAACTTTTTCAAAATTTTTTAATTTCATTTTTGTTTGTTTTTATAAACTTTTATTCATTTTTACTAAATATTTGTATATTTTACTGTTAGGGACTTTGGGGGAATATTAGGGATCTAAACAGACCCCTGATATTTCCCTTTTTTTTAAATAGAAAAAGAGATTGAGGACACAAAGTCCTCAATGGGGGGAATTTATCAACGCAATTGCGACAGTTTTAGCCTCATTTTGTTTTATGTGCAAATCTGTCTTTCTCTCCCGTTCATTGAAGGACATAGGGCAAATGATTTAGATCCTGTATGGTAGGGTATATCGCCACCTGCAGGAGAAGGGCGCTACTACGATCTGTTGCCCTGTGTTCTTCAATGAACGGAGAGAAAAGGATTTTCCGGTGAGTACAAAAATCCTATTTTTAACATGTGCCCCTGTTTTCACCTGAGCTTGAACTACGTTTCCAACTGCATGTTTTTTTTGCACCGTTTTCATCTGCACTTGTTCTGGGGCTGTATGAAACTGGAGCATCACCTAAGAAAACAATCGCAACTTAAATCTGGTGCAAATATATTCCGTGCAAGTTCAAACACTTGCAATTGCTATGATTAATTCCCCCCAGTGTGTTTACTATAATCACAATCATGAATGAACAGGAAGTTATTTAGGTCACTTCCCATTCATTCATATTTGGGGGATATAATCTACATGCTATTTACAAGCACTCTGCAAACACTGATCACTGAGTGTTTGTTTGTACCTCGCTCTCCTTCCTGACACGCTGTCACAGGAGGCTGAGCGAGCGGAGCTCAGCCTCCTTTGACAGCGCTGGCTGTCTCTGCCCGCACTGCTCTCCTCTGATCTGTGACAGGAGGCTGAGCGGTGTGGGAGGAGAGACGCCGACACTTTCGGTATTGTGCCATTTTCGGTCGATAGATCACTGCATCTCTAATATAAAGTATATCTAAACTAACATAAGGACTAAAGGGGAATTTTCGGGTGCCACATCCCATATACAGATTGCAATCCATATACCCATCGCACTCCTGACAGTTTTTCCGTACAGATTTAGGTGGGTGCAACGGTAGTCGACGGATGGCACCCGTCTCTATGCGTGAAGAACAATATGGACACCGGCACTCAAAATGCAAGTCAAATTGTCTATTTAATGATGTGCATGCAGCAATTTTATACTCCTTGCAAAGTTTAGGGGTCTCGCAGGAACCCCTTCATCAGGCAGAGCAAGTGACACTCCTGTGTCTCCAGATGGGGGAAGCTGCTCACGTCTGTATGAGGTAAACTCATCCCTGCCCCCGATTGCCAGGTAAGCGGCGGGTTCCATACCATTAGTTGGCCGCACACACCTGAAGGGGTGCGGAACCGGCTACATAATCAGTAGCCGTGGTCACAGCGGAATGCTGCTGTCAGAACTGGAAGCTGGGAGAACCATTTAGAAACAAGGCCAGCACCGCTCATTGATGTGGAGAACATGGAAGCAGAGATCCAATGTACATAATTGCGTGATCTAGTTATTCGGCCGATCCGATTAAAGATCAACATATGAGAAATGTGACCCCAAAATATCAGAAGCTGGAGAGCATACATGCATTGTATTAAACATCATATTGAACAACGGGCATTACACTTTTCTGATCTGATACTCGGGGAAATGTGAGAAAAAGTGTATTGGCAAGTGTAGGGATAAGCTGATTATGAAACCTCACGGTGCATGCAATATGTGCGTCCAGTATGCAATACTGAAACATCTGTGGGAAATGGTTGCATGCTGTGGTAAAGCCAGGAAAGTTAGTAACGGGGACAACATGAATCAAAACATGCATATTATTGTAGAGAATACAGCAAAAATACAAAGTAAATAGAATTAACAGTTTGCTTAGCCAAAACAATGTAATTGTACACACCCTGACACAAGGCATGGTAAGGGGGAGGGGGGGTGCCAC